GAGACAGAGGGAGGGAGGGAGAGAGAGAGACAGAGGGAGGGGGGAGAGAGAGGGAGGAGAGAGAGGAGAGAACATAGCGGAGAACAAAGGACTGAGAGAGATTGGAAGCAGTAGCCATTTTTATGAGAATGCTCATTTGCCACAAAATCCTGTTTGAAGAAGGAATCTGCAGCTGGAAGCTAAGTATTTTAGTGTTTCCTCTCTTGGATAAACATTACATGTACTAGAAAGGATAGTGTAGTGGGTGCATGTGTATGCATGTTTGTAGCAGTCTGTATGTATGTTTTGTTTTGCTTTTCCTGTAACTAAGTTGGTGTACACAGCTATTTTGCCAAGTAAAGTACTTTACATGCTACTGGGGTTAGTTTCCTTCAGCTTTCCTGCAGAACCAGACAACAAATTGAAAATAAAGTTTTGCCAAGCTTTATATTTGGGCACGTCCTTGAGAGACGCTTTACATTTTGGGTGATGGTCTTTGGGATTGGTAGTCTCAAAAGCAAAACAGCTGCATAGAGCAGTATTGCCCATTTTGGGATCTCCGCCTTGGCTGCCACAGGACCTTGTGCTTATTGACACAGTCAGACAGACACCTTCCTGCCTATTTTACAGGAAATATATCTCTCATCTATGGTCAGACACAGGAATTAACCCTTCTAATCTAGGTCAGGCCAAGTGCGTCCCAGCATATGGGAGTTATGGACTGTGAAATCATTAACTTTTCTATCATTTTTAAACAATGTTCCTTATTTTAGATGAAGATAAATATTTGTAGAAAACTTGTAAATTATATTTACCTTGCATTGGGGAACTCCTCATCAGATTCCATCTCATCCTCTGTTGTGAGAGGCGAGTAATGAACCCCATTAGTTGAGGGTAAAGGTTTCTCCTTTTTTAAGACTGGGGGTAATTCATGATCCTGGTATGGTGCTGGGGAACTTTTCAGTGAGTTTTCGGGAGATGAAATAGCAGTGATTTCCAAAGGCTGATTAATGTTATTTACCTAGAAAATAAGCAATATTCAATGACTGACAACATAGTTAAAAATGTGTAACAGAAATTATTGCCCATGCACCAATTATGTTAATCTGTGCTTAATATTTAACTGCTCTACCTTTTCTCTGGTAATCACTCTAGTCTAAAATGCTGTACTGACAAAATTATGTTTAACAGGAATAGCTACAGCCATAGGCACCCTATAAGAGTGTTAATGTGTGTTAACTCCTTCATGACCAGTTATTAGCAGATTCACTATTAATCGGTTAACCCAAGGGTAGCCAAACTCCAGCCCTCCAGCTGTGGTGAAACTACAAATCCCATGACGCATCACTCTTCAGGAGCCATGTCTGTGGATGTGAGAATCTTGCAATGCCTCATGGGATTTGTAGTTGCATCCCCGGGTGGAGGGCCGGAGTTTGGTTACCCCTGAGTTAAACAATAACTAATATATTTACCATAAAGTCGAGCCAAAACTTTTTTTGGTTTTTGGATAAAATTAAGAAGATTAGAACCTCCTCACAAAGATTTCCCCTCACTTACTGTGACAGTTTCACCAAAAAGGGTGGTGGAAAAAATCTGGAACAGGATAACAGACTGAAAAAAAAACAGACAGGGGCTCTAGATATCCCCTTTTCTACTTTGTTGTTGTGTGAGAATTACCTCACTTGTAGTATAGTAAAACCATTGTCAATGGGACAGTAAGTGAAAAGAAATCAACCTCCAGATAAACTCAAATGAATAAACAAACTGCATTCGTATATTGCATTATATTTTAAACAACCAAATGGTTTGAAAACTAGAGAATGATCTTTATCTTCTAAGCATTACCTTATTTAAATATGAATCGTAACAAACATGTTTGTTGGAAATGTATATTACCAAATGTGTGTATGCTGTTTAACAGTGATTTTTACCATTGAGTTGATACTCATTGGAGATCCTGAAGTATAGCCGTTCAGTCCAAAAGATGATGGAAGTGATCTACGCTTAGGAGACACTACCAGGCTGTAGTTTCCAGCATAGGGCCTCTTGCGTCGGCTACCTTTCCTTCTGCCATCCTGTCCCGGGCCACTCTCCATGCGAATAGTTGCTGTTAATGGACTATGTTTATTTGATGGTGACCTCCCTGAGGAGCTTCCACCACTAGTTATAGTAAAAATGATTCGCCTCTTGGCCTCTACTTCTGCATCGCTGGCATAAAAGTCTCCATCACCAGAGGTCTTACTTGGATCTAGAAACCCATGGGGACTATCAGACATTGGGTAGTGAGCAGGTGAGCGCTGAGAGGACTGCTGGTGATGTGGGGTGGAGCTTCTAGATCCCCCAGAGTTTGAAAGGGTGCCTGAATTAGAGGAATCATCCATGCAATCAGTCTCTGATCCATGGCTATTCAAAACTGGTCCATTCAGCGAGCTCGGCCAGGTTGGGTAAAAGAAACCTAAAGCAAATGGAGAAAATTGGTTAATTTGGAGAGGTAAGAAGTTAAATCTGTACCTTATTTGCTTTTTTTTAAAAATTAGTTTATTAACGGACATTGCCGACAGTACATACATGTGATTCTTAGCAATGGAACATATGCTACAGGTTACATCAAGTGATTACAGTTAGGTAATGTCTCAAATTTCGGATACCATAAAAGATGGTAGGCAATTCTATGGACATATGAGTAACATCAAAACAACACATTTTAGGTGCAACGTCTAACAGCAGCTGGTATGTATATAATGCAAAGAAAATTCTGCGAACCAGCCTGTCGTGGCTTGTGTCAATCGTGACCTCACAAACTCCGAGGAGGTAGAGTGCACCTCTTAGTACTGACACATAAACCCCATCAAGACAAAGCTCGTAGTCAACTGCTCCTCAGGCAAGAGTAGTGGATGCAAAGAGCCAGTGTGTGGAAAAGGAGAATAGAGAAAGCGATAGAGGACAGATGTCCTAATTTTGAGCCCTGTCCTAGAGCATAGGGAAAGTAGAAGAGAGAGAGTAGGATCCTGAATCTTCACGCAGTGTCCCCATCCACGGAGATGCCATCACCCCCGACTTCGGCAGATGGGGACCCCAACCGAAAAGGACCTTCCGAGCGGCTTGTTCCAGGAAAGCAGGCACTGCCTCCGTTTGTGTGGTGTCAAGTTCATCCCGCCAGGAGGTCGGTAAATTTAGTCGAGTGTTGGAAGTAAATCCAGGGTCCCCAGGTTTCCAAAAACCTCCCTTCAGCGTTTTTAAGGGAAGCTGTCAAGTCCTCCATGACATATACCTCCCGTACTTTGGAGAGCCATAACGAGATCTGCATCTAGGAGGTGGCGTGTGAGTGAGTGCCGGTATGTCGAGAGTGGGGCGGCAGACATGTGCAATAGACATGCTGCCGGCTTATTTCTGAGATCAGTCATGGTCAGGTCCTGGATGACAGTCAACACCTGGTCCCAGAAGGGCTTCAACCTTGGGCAGGAACAAAAGATATGGAGCATTGTACCAGATTCGGAACCACACCTCCAACATTGGGCTGGGATGGAAGGTATCATTCTGTGCAGTAGCCAAGGGACCCTATACCATCGGGATAGTATCTTGTATCCCATTTCTTGGACCTTGCTGGCCATTGAGGACTTGTAGGGCATGGTAATGATGGTCTGAGTTTGTTGGTCAGTGAACACGAAGCCTAGTTCACGCTCCCAGGACCCCAAAAACGGGGGCCGAGAGGTGGAGGCTGGTGCGCTGAGTAATTTGTACCAAATTTGCTTTTTAGCTTAAATAATGAAAAATTGGATTTTTGTACAAACCATCACATTAATTTCTTGAAGTTCAAAGGGGGACAGAGGAATTCAGATACTTGATTATACTACCCCCTCCAGAATTTGGAAACTGGTAGAATTGTTGCCAGCCAGCTATAACACCTTTAACTACCAGTATACCTCAGCAGTATCAATAGCACAAACACAGAGAGGGGTAGGACCAGTGACTTTTGGTGAACTAAAGAAATGGATTTTGTCATTTTTAGTACAAAATTCGTATTTTATTAAAGGGCACAGGAATCGAGACTATTTGGACATCTAAATGCTGTCTGAGGGGTGGACAACACCAAAAAAACACTAACAGGCCCACAAAAGAACAGAACTGGGGACTGCCTGTAGTTCATAGAACCGCCTGAAGCTGGCATCACATGAAGCCTGAACAAGGATCTGGTAAAACCTGGAGAACATATGAACAGAGGACCAGTCGGTGTGCCTTGATGCCTAAAAAAAAGTGCAAAAGGCACTCGCAAATCTAGACAGGCAAGGGTGGAAGCCAATCCTTAAGACTATAAACTTGGATGATAGGTTTAAGCCTCCATGAATTGGTGGAACGAGGAGCAGGTTCCCCTTTACAAAAACCATCAGGAATGACAAAGTCTTTCTAATTAAAGCAGTACAAACTACATGTAGACAATGGCGATAAATAGCCTTCTGATGAACTGATGCCAAACAGAGGGACAGAAGATCTTGGTTGAGGTGAAAGGCCTAAACTACCTTAGGAAGGAAAGGAGGTTCTGGGACTGAACACCACCTTGCCTTTGTGCAACACCAGAAAGAGTTCAGAATAAACCTGATAGTTCAGACACTTACCTTGCACCTTGTAAGGGCAAGAATAAAAGCAACCTTGTAGGTTAGAGTGGAAAGGGAAATATTCCATGATAGGTTCCAAAAGGCAATTTTGGAAGAGATGAGAGAAATTCAGCTCCAACAGAATCTGTGCAGGAGAAGCCTCATGGAAAACACCTTGTACAAAGGTCTTATTTAAAGAATGGGAAGCTAGGTGTCTTTGAAACAAGAAAGCTAAGTGCTGAAATCTGAACCTTGGATGATACTCGGGGCCAAATGCTGAACCAGATCCATTTGTAGAAAGGTCAAGATTTGTCCCCACAGAGAATTTCCTGGGGTGAAAGTTCTTTGCCTTGCACCAAGCAAAGTGTGCCATCGATGTGCAACAGTAGACCTTGCAAGAAGCTGACTTCCTAGCCTTTGAAATTGTGGGAATCATGGATTCAGAAATGCCCCGGCTCCTCAGCACCTGGGTTTAAAAAGCCTTGCCAATAAAGCCAGCGACCGAGAAGCAGAATGGTAAACCGATTCCAGAGACCGATGATCCAGACTATCTGAAAGCCCACAGAGCATCTACTCATGTCGGTGTATAACTGAAATGCCCTCCCTCTTGATCCTGTGGAGCAGGAAGGAGTTTCAGGGGAGGGAAGGCACGGATTAGGCTGTACTGATCCAACAGATCTACAATACTGTCCCCCACCCACCTGGAACACTCTGGGTGAAGGGACCAGCTGCTGAGGAAGTCTGCCTGCTAGTTGTCTTCACCTGGGATGCCAACAGTGGACAAGACTGGAAAATGACAGAATCCTTTCTACCCGTCTTGCCGCAGCAAGACTTTTGATTCCTTCCTGATGGTTAACGTAAGTAATGGCCATGGCTTTGTCTGATTGAATCCTAATTGAATGAACCACCAGTCAGGGTGCCCAGCATTGCAGGTAGAACTAAATTGCCCCATGTTCCAGAATGTTGATTCACCAGGAGACCCACAAAAGCTGCATGGAAATCTGCTAATCTGTGTGTTGACACAGACAGGTTGGAAGACATGAAGCAAGGAGGGGGCTAAAAGCAGATTAGCTTGTAGCCCCAGAAAATAACCTACTGTACCCAAGCAAATGTCTGGTTAGCGCTTGGCAGACAAGTGTTATGGCTAAGGCAGGTTACAAAGAAGGACCTGCCAACAAGAAAAAGGTTTTTGAAAGGGCCTCCAATTGCGTGCCGATGGGGTCCTTAAGGGCCAGTTCAAGCCATCTCCAGTGCGTTTTCCGGCACGGTTAGTAACCGGATCGCATAGTGGAAGCCTCCCTGTGTTCTGGAGTTGGAGGGGGGCATGGCGGTGCCATTCAAGTCAATAGCACCGGAGACACCCACGACCCTCTGCCTGCAGTGCGACCTCAGGCACCAGAACACATGGCACAGCAATGCTTGCTTTCCAGTCCTATCACAAAAAAAAGTGCATGCAAATCAAGTCAAGTGTGCCCTGACAGGCAAGGGTGGAAGCCGATCCTTAAGACCATAAACTTGAATGATGATAGGTTTGAGCCTCCAAGAATTGGTGGAATGAGAAGCAGGTTCCCCTTTACAAAGACTATCAGGAATGACAAAGTCTTCCTAATAAAAGCAGTACAAACTACATGCAGACAATGGAGGGAAATAGCCTTCTGATGAACTGGTGCAGAACAGAGGGACAGAAGATCCTGGTTAAGGTGAAAGGCCTAAACTACCTTAGGAAGGAAAAGGAGGATTAGGAATGACAGTCTTCCTAATGGAAGCAGTACAAACACGCACGCACTATTCTTTGCGATCATACTGGATCGGAAAGCAAGCATTGCTGTGCCATGCATTCTGGTATGGGTGATCGAATTGGGGAAGGGGGTGGTTGGTGTCTGCAGTGCCCTGGACTAAAATGGCGCACCGCTACGCTCCCTCCAGCCCCAGAACGCGGGGAGGCTTCCACTTTCTGATCCAATGCGTTACAACCACTAACCATTCTGGAACACACTGGAGATGGTGTGAACCGACCCTAAAGACACAACTCCAAGGGATCATCAAAGCTTTGTTAAGATGGCATATTGCCAAATGCACAGTGGGGGCATCACACTTTTTGACAAATGCCTCAAACGGGTACAAGGCTTGAAGGTGTAAATTAGTGCGTTAAGGACTTAAGAGGTTTAGCATTGGACAGGGTCTCCGCAGCTGGAGGATCTGAGGTTGCTAGCATCACAAGCAGATCAGCTAAGAATTCTGTAGGGGAAGATGTGCAATTTGGCACATACAATTCTGCGTAACTGTAGTGAAGACAGAGAAGGGTACAGCATCCAGCGGAGCTTAAAAAAAAATAATCAGGAGGCTGGCACAGACTCAAGTGAGGGCAATATTCCAGGCCATCAGTGCCCAGAGCGCTGCATGCAGCATAATAGCTTCTGGTTCATGAGCTAAAGGTTCCCAGTACAGCATGACTATCCCCTCTGTGTCTAGGTTCTGACATGTTGCACGTAAGACAGAGCAAAGTAGCTCACGGTGCAAGGCAAGGCCTTGAATACTCACAAACCACCTACTGGCAGCAGGAGAGGTTCAGGCAACAGGAAATGACCAGGCCACTAAAGGCAGGCAGAAATGTTAAAAAATAAGAGAATGGAGCAAGGTGTCACTTGCAATCAAGTGCAGCAGTGGGAAGCTGCTACAATGTTAAAAGAGTGCAGCGTGTACCAAACGATGACACCAGTCCACACTTACACAATAAACCCACGGAATATAAGGATTTCTAAGCACCTGATGCTCTTAATAACTCATTGTTCAGATCACACAGCCTACTCACAAAGTAAGACTTCAAAGACACGTCCGCACCTGGGGCTGAGACATTGTTTGGGACCTAAAAAAGCCCCATGGCTAACAAGCATACATTCAGGTCTAAAAAAAAAAGGGCCACAACGCAGAGCCCAAAGGTCACATTATAGACTAGACTTGCAATCGGCCAGTCGGAAAGATCCAGGTATGGCCTCCAAAGCTACTGCGGAGGATACGCCAATCCAGATATCTGAGTACAGAGACCAGCTCAAGCGGCTTGTAGAGAAATTTTGATTGAAGAACAAAATAGCCATCACAAAAGGTTAAGAGAAGAGATATCCATGCTCCTGAACACTAGCAAACTGTCCACATTCTTCTGTAGGTAGCAGAATAACTAACAGTCTCTAAATCCCTGTGTCCCTCAATTAACATTAAAGGTAACACTAGGTAAACAGGATCTAATTTAAAAAAATCCTCCAACTAGAGCTGCAACAACTAATCGACTAAGTCGATTATAATCAAGGATGGAAAATGTCGTCAACATTTTCCATCATCGATTAGTTGCCCGTTTGCGGCTCCGCGCCGCACCTCACCCAGCTCTGAGCTCTCTACCGCCGAGATGATCACATCGTTGCTGTGTGGGGGAACGAAGATCTCCGGCAAGAAAGTAAAGCTGCTTGCAGGTAAGACTGCCGGCACTTTTCCCCCACATGCTGTATAAATCTATTGCTGGCATAGTTATTGGTTGTATTCCTCTATAGCTGATGGTACGTTGCACTGTATATGTACCATCAGCTCTAGAGGAATGCAAATCCCAGCAAGGTATACTGTATGTATAATGTATTGCTAGGATTTGTTGTATTCATTACATTCATTAAATGTTGCATTGCGCTGTATAGAGGACTACAAATCCCAGCAATAATACATTATACAGCGCAATGCAGAATACCACCAGCTATAGAGGAATACCACAAATCCCAGCAATACATTATATTTACAGTGTATAATGTATTGCTGGGATTTGTATTCCTCTGTAGCTGATGGTACATATAGCTGATGGTTGTATTGCTCTATACAGCGCAATGTACCAACAACTATCCCAGCAATAGTACATTATACAGCACAATGCAGAATACCACCAGCTATAATGTACTATTGCTGGTATGTGTTGTATTCGTCTATAGATGTTGGTATTCTGCATTGCGCTGTATAGGAGGACTACAGCACATCCCAGCAATAGTACATTATACAGCGCAATGCAGAATACCACCAGCTATAGAGGAATACAACAAATCCAGCAATACATTATACAGCGCAATGCAGCATACCACCAGCTAAAATGTACTATTGCTTGGATTTGTTGTATTCCTCTATAGCTGATTGTATTCTGTATTGCGCTGTAAAATGTATTATTGCTGGGATTTGTAGTCCTCTATAGCAGGTGCGATTCTGCATTGAATGCTGTATAATTTTACACTTTCCATTTCAATATATAGCACATCACACTTTTTTTTACTTCCACCGCTCCAAGCTTGCTCCTGTGATGGACTACAATCCAAATACAAACTAGTAGTTCATCACTGGAGTCATTTTTTTTTAACCGATTAATCGAACTTAATAAATCGGCTCACTAATCGATTTTGAAAATAATCGTTAGCTGCAGCCCTACCTCCAGCCAAATTGTTTCTAAATGCAAAACATTAATTTATTTAGAATAATAAATATACGTCAACAGATGGACTTTAGTTCTTTCAATAACCGAGACTCAGAATCACATGTGGGAGTTAAACCAGCTTCCTATTTTAAAGAGAAAATTTACCCATATCTTCCAAATAACAAAGGCACCTTTAGAAATGTTTAGTAATGTGAATCTTCAAACCGATATTTCTAGATAATCGCTGCCTTTTTATTCTTCGCATACCTTATTTTTTTCCCAACTCTATTCTTCTCACAGTGGCCATTTTAACTAAAAGCCGATTAATTCATCTTCCTTTACTTCCTGGAACTTTGGCACATGTGATTAGGACATGTGACCATGCACATCATCTTAGGGGAGGGAAATGCCTTTCCCGGAGATCGGGTAAGATTACAGATTAGATTTCCCAGCAAGGCACTGAAGATGTAACCTTCCCAGGATGCAATGCTTGGGCACGATTACATAATTTGTGCCAAAGGGGACAAGAAGCAGAGAAAAAAAAATATGTACATAAAATAAAAATATGTTATAGCTAATGAATGCAAGATGATTTTATATCAGCATAAAATGTATGTATGAGCTGTATGCTGATGTCATTTTTACTCAAAGATGATAAAGGTCCACTTTAAAGAAGCTACATACAGCACCTTGCCGGCCCCTCCCACTAGCTATGATCTGCCTGCATTGCACAGAGAAGCACGAAGACATAGTGATGATGTCACTAGGTCTAAAATAGGGTATGTAATGAAAACAGAAAGATTTACTTAATTTAATTAGCATGTTGATGAGGAGGGAAAGGAGCCATATAAAGCAAAACAAGCAGGTAAACCCCCTTCAAGACTGAGCTTATTTTCAGTTTCTGTTCATTAATGACTGAAGCACTTTTTAAATTTTTGCATTGTGATCCTTCCACGTCAGTAATATACTTTCTTAGCAAGTGCACCCACACATTATATATTGTTTTTTTAGAGGGCAGATAGGGCCATATATTTATAATAACATATGTGCGCCTAACGCCTCACTTAGTATCAATAATAAAAACAAAAAGGAGAAAAAAACGTAAACGAAAACAATTTCCCAGTTTTGATTATTATGAATTATTTTTTAGAGAAATAGCACAGCTAAAAAAAAAAAAGCATAAATATAAATTAATTTATTTGTCCTTTATTTGGAAAGATCTCGCATCCCTAGGATTTCAGCAATTTTTCTGTACTTCCCGACCCAACACTAAATGGGCTCAGATCTGTTCAGGGTTTAGTAGGAAGGCCTTATCCATAAAGTTAAGTAAGGTCAGGTCCCAGTAACAAAGGAAATGAAATAAGAGAGCAGTGAACAAGAGGCTTCTCTGGAAACTTAAGCAGGGGTGTAGACATTTTAAAATAACTACTTGTCAAAAGACTAAAGCAGGGGCTCAATTTACTAGTCCCTCATGACAATGCCACGATACAAAAACTAATTTTAACCAAAACCGCATTTAACCGTGCTAAGAATCAAGTGTGTATCTACAAGGATTCCCCTCTCCTCGCACAATAAAGCACACGTGATTGTAAGAAAGAAGGCAGCGTACTAAAAGCAGTGCGCTCACTGAGCCAGGAATGACTGATACTGTTCATAAGATAGATGTGTGTGTCTATATGTCGGCAAAACCCCTTTACCGATCACTCTCGTGTCCGACGCATTGGAAACTAGAGCAAATGTGAAGCAGGAGTGGAGCCACTGCAACCGATTTCTTTTAAATTTCCCCAAGAATAAAAGATGAAACCTGATGGTAGCTCTCAGCTCCATCTTCTTTGCTTCAATTAAATGCAGCAGCTGGTCTTCCTTGGGTAAGAACTAACACACACACACACGCACAGATCCTTACTGGGACAACGCCTGGGGTAACGGCATGCTTGCAGCCAGCAAGGCACTGCCAGCTACTGGCATGCTGAGAGTTGAAACTGCTCCAGCAGTTCAGATACACATAAGGTCATGTGGAAGATGAGGATGCAGGACAGACAGATCCCAGAGAATCAAAACAAACGACAAACGCACTCAACAATTTGTTACCAGTTATATAGTAAGGTGCACACTAAATGGGCTTTGAACAGTAAAACAGCAGAAAGGCATCATGGCTCACTCACATAATGACGGAGGTTTGGATACACGTCTTCAGCCGAGGATGTGTAAGCCGCACTGCCGCGCCAAGGCACCTCCAATACTGTTCAAAGCCCATTTCGTGTGCACCTTACTATATAACTGGTAACAAATTGTTGAGTGCGTTTGTCGTTTGCTTTGCTTGACTGATTTGGTGCAGCGACGCATGGGGTTTCTCAGCTGCCAATAGGATGTGCGGGATCCCTTGTGTGTTTCTGTACCTTTAAGGAGGTGGGGCGTCCTCCTGACAGGCCTGCACCCAATTTGATATCTTCTGCCCCCATGTGCTCCAAGATGGAGACTCTCATAGTTTAGAGTTAGGACCGCACTATAAGAGGTGCCTTGGCGCGGCAGTGCGGCTTACACATCCTCGGCTGAAGACGTGTATCCAAACCTCTGTCATTATCCTTAGTGGTGAGACATGTTTTACATGCTGGTTTTGTGAGTGTGCCATGATGCCTTTCTGCTGTTTTAAGATCCCAGAGAATGCCCTGCACCCCAGTAGAAGGAAATGCAGGTGCACTCATACACCACAGTCAGTGTGTACAACCCAGGAGCCATCCTATGGAATACCCCTGGGCCTTGGAGACAGGGCCCAGAAAGAGCCAGGACTCTCCCCCTTTGTATATGGAGGGCATGAGGCCCGATGCCAGCAGCAAGATGAGGAGGGGGCCTGTAGTGTCCTCTGGGTACTTTTCTACCCTTGCACTGCCTCCCGTCCGCCATTAGCATGCTAGCTGAACAATACCGCATCGGTCAGAAAGGGGTGATAAGGAAGCCAGTGGAGCCTTGCACATCCTGAGGTGACCTCACAGGCAGCCCGGCATATCACAGTGAGCGGCGGCTCTCCTGCTCTATATTTAGCCCTGCTTGCCCGAAGCAGGGCTAAATGTAGGGATAAAACCCCCACCCGCCCAGCACCTGGAACTGCATGTCCCAGGCGTTCGGCGATAGGAATTCCGCACCCCTTTTAAGACAATAGTGGATAGTTGGAGTGTCTGATCTTAGGCAGGACTGGTACTAGTTTAAAAAAGCACAGGTTTGCTTTAAGCTCTCACATTTCTAATTCCCAGGTTCAATAAAAATAAAAGAGATCAGGTGGTTAATTTTAATACTGTATTCAGCAAATGTGTATGTATGTCACAATTAGTAAACCAACAAAGCTTATAAAAACATAGAAATATTAATTTACAAACATAGTTGACCGTTACCTGAGGTAGCCAGTGGCCTTGAGACAGCAGCATAATTGAAGCTGTTAGCAGCACCATATTGATTATCCATGCTGCAGCTATCTCTGCTATTACAACCTGGACTGGGACTGTTTCTCTAAAAACAAAGAAAAGGAATCATACCAGAGAATTAAAAGACGTGATTTAGATACAATAAAGAAACATACGTATACGACTGGGCTTACAGTAGAACAGTTTTAGATAGCATAAGGGAGAGTTATAACGTCAGCATTTTACCATTGTTGTCCCTTCACTTCCGGGCTGATGGGGCTCACAACTGGAAGTGAGAGGAAATCCCTACAAACAGATGGAAGTCTATGGTGGTCAGCAGTGTCACAAGAACTTTCCACAACATCCCATTTCAATCAACTACTAGATCTACAGGAAGATCCCAGGTGGTCAGGTATTCCCACAAACCTCTATGGGACTGACACTGTGTTTAACCTTTGTTATACACTTTGTAATCAATAAAGTGGAAAGCAAAAGACTCAGATCAGGGAAAGCATACTTTGTACAAGTTACACTACTGTGTTTAATCTGCACAAAGGTTTAAAAATAAAATAAGCGCTTTGATGTTGGCATAGTAGATGAAAGGCTTGCAGCAGACCTAAGTTAGGCTGGGTACACATGGAGCACATTTCAGACAGTTTAGCAGGAATTGGCTGAAATTCACTACATTGGTGACCCTTTTCAGTCAGCAGAAGGCAGCTTTTACCAAAAGAATATGCTGGAAAACCTTCAGCCAATCAGCTGCAAGCTCTGTTCGGGTATTCAGACAGCAGCTGCTGTCAAAATACAATAGAGGCAGCAGGGGATTCATCCATCCACATTGTTCAGCGCGGATGGAGGAATCGGTTATATTTTAAAAAATATATACGTGTATACACTAAAGTGTAGATGGGCTTGTAAAATAAGCAGAGAACAGAGTGTGCTTTGGTTTTATGCTTCCATGCAAGTCTTTCTAAATGCGGATTCTTAAACCTGCAAGTTACCTTTTCACATCCCATTGACTGAAAGAGCAGCTTACACAGCAATTTTGTTTAGCATAGACATGACAGTGTTTTAGGTTCAAAAACGTCATTTAAAAATGAAATCCATGAGATACCATATGTAAATGGCCACACCTGTACATCTGTTCACCAAGTCTACAGTGTGTGGTAAGATTCTCACATTCGGGCACAGGGAGTCACAGTATATGTGACTGGAAAGGGTAAAATAAGCAGTCAATATAATCCCACGAATTCCCAACATACCTTTTCCACACGGCTTGGCAGGACAACACTAGCCAGAGGGATGCTGACTGGCAATTTGTTGGGTTGGACTGTGCTCAGTGGGATACTTATAGGCAAACTGGTGATTGTTTCAGGAATCAAAGGGCTACGGTCTCTTGACAGCTGAAAGAAACATATCCAGAAGACATAAGTTAAGCGATTTCCTTTGAAAACAAGACATAGTAAAAGAAATTAAACAAGACCTCAAGTTAAAGAACATAGAAAAAAAAAAAAGTTTAAATTCTTTTGTTTTATTTACACTTTTCATACTTGATCTTCTTAAAGCACCACAAAGTGCTGTGCAAGCTTGCCATACATACATTGTTCTATTTACCTTAGAGGACTCCTAAATTCTGGGTGCATAATAAATAGAAATCAGCCAACTTTTATATGTTTAGGCCTCCTTTTCCCCCTATTCCCCTATTTTCCCCCTATTCATTAATTCAAGTAAGTGGCAGGCAAATATCTGTAAATACCTACTTCCAAGACAAAACAAGAAGCAATATACAGAAGAAAAGGAACCCTAAAAGCATGTGTACAAAGAATTATGACGAGGCTCAAAATAGATGCTGAAGGTCAACCTAGCTCAAAAGCGGTTATACAATTAAATAAAAGGTATTAACTGGCCATCTTTCATCTGCTATAAGACCATACAAATTAGAATGTTTTATTTTCCTTGACAGGGTTCACGTTTAATGTTTTTGCCACCAAGAAACCCACCTTGTCACCTCCCCTCTCGGCAGCTGCTTGGCCTACATCAGGAGAAGGATGCGATTCCCGAGGACTTAGCTGGATGCCATTCAAACTACCAGGACTTGATGACATAAAGCCGTTCTCCTTAACCAACTCATTCCTTTAGGGAAAAATTATATTAACATTATAAAATGCAGAAAGCAAAGCTATGAAGATTTCAGAAACCATATCAAAACCAAACAGCTTGACAGAAGTCAAAGGTTTAGGTTTACCATCTTTAAGTGAGCTGAAAATCTGACTCACTGTAACTTACATTCCTTGAATGTCCTCATTTTTGTTGCGAACATTAGAAAAGATCATTTATGACTGTTAGGAGCCCAAAAGCAATTAGCACTACCTGACACCACAGTAATAAATGACAGAGGAAACATTTGTGAAGAGCTACATAGGGCCCAGTCACACCATATCCAGTGCATCCCGGTGCAGTTCTCGCCTGGAACGCACTAGATAGCAAAAATTAAGCTGGTGAGCGTTCTGGAGCATGCAGCATTTTTTAAGATCGCACTGCACCGGAGGGCATTCCTGTACCTCCCATTCAGGTGCGGACGATGTGTCTGCAGTGCCATTGACATGAATGGCACCGACACCCCCCCCCCCCCCCCCCCCCCC